TCCTCATTTTTATAGCAAATAAGCACCTGTAGATCCTACTGACTTCAATTCCAGCACCTTTGTAACTCAGATATTAGCTTTTTCATATACCCTGTAAAACAGATCATTTTGGAAAACATCAGACCAAACCATTCAGTGACCTTTCCCAGCTTATAAAATGGAGTGGAGGTAACTTCACACATCATGAAATTGCAAAAGCTGTTTACAAAAAATTTTTATGTCCTCCAGAGGGCAAGTGATAAATAGGTGTAAGATATTATTATTATTATTACTATTACTACTACTATGAAGACATTCCAGCTTCTACATGGGTTTTTTAATTGTTACCTGAATACCTTTTCCATATTCTCTTCTACAAGGCCAATTGAAAAGACCAAAGGGACAATCTGACCAATGCAATGTGTTAATGTATTTTTAGTCTCACATTTGAGAGTTGCACCTCTGACAGGTGATCATATGAACAAAAATGTTTGGCAAAATGCATGTTAAAGTGTGTATTTTAAATAGCATCAAAGAATCCCCCATAGAAGTTTGCTTCTCATGAAGCATGGGTAGTTATAACTTTGGCATACTATGCATATTTATTGTTTGCAATGAAACTCCTACAAAAGGCCACACAGATTCATAAAATATACTTTTCTCCTTTGCACTCTGAAACTCTGTTTACCTTTTGGCCTGAATCTTTTTCAGACCTGATAATATTCACCTCTAGGCCTGCGAAGAGAAGGAGAAGTTAGACCATAATTTGTGTTTGTGGAAACCTTCTCTTGAAGAGCCTGCAGATTTGTTAACTCAAGAACCAAACAACTTAGAATCGTATTTCTTCACCTAATGTTGCCATGATGTTAGCATTGCAGAACATTTTGCAGCTCAAGCAAAACTTTAGCTTCAATGAGAATCTCTCTTCTTCTGTTATGTCCAGCCTAGAATCATGGTGAGATGTCTTAAATACGTCACTGAGGGGATCTTCTAGGCCTACCAATCTTGGTCAAAGGCCTGTGTAATTTGTCATTACTGGAATGGAAATGCTTCCTCTCTAGGTGAAAGAAGAAAATACTTATGTAGTAGATTGAATAAAAACCTCATGTTGCTCGAAGCTTTTAAAAACTTTCAAGAATTAGTCCTGAGGTAAACAGACTACAGGCTACATGGATAAATAACACAGGTGCCTGCACACAGAGACACACAAATGCACATATTTATAATGCAAAAATATGACATATTTATAATTCTGAAAAAAATCTGTAGTAATCAGATTGTTGCCTTTGACACATTGCTATTTTTTCCTTATGGAAAACAGGAACTCAGACACTAACATATGGTTGATCACTGGAAAACGTTAGCTTTGTCATCACCAAAAATTAAGGGTCTGTGTGTGATTTTCCCAAGTCTTACCTAAACAGATCCAAAGAAACTTATTAAGTCTGAAATTTGTTTCATAGACTGGAATTTTAGAACTTTTTGTCTGTATCCTCACTCTAACTTCTTTTTTCTATCTATCAGTACAGCTGTAGCAAGGCAGTGCTTCTTGGGCTTTGGGTTCTTGTTTTATTTTACAAAAATATTAGAATGCGAATGTTTTAACTTAGAACTGGTCAGAGTGGACAATTCAGAATTTATAACAATTGGCTTCTGTACCTTTCCTATTTCGATCTTAGTTCTACAGGCTGCAATACAGAAACATTCTAAACCCAACTGAATTTTTCTTTAATCCATGTGTAAGAGAAACTACACTGTCTTCAGCATTAGGCCTCAGATGTGATGACTTAGTCACTACATTCTCAGCTAGGGTACGTAGCACAAGCTGAAGCCAAGATTTCAATGCCTGTGAGATATGTTTATCTTGTTTTTACTGGCATAGTTTGTCTGCATACATATTTAAAATATCCTTCAAAGTTAGGTTCTGAATTTGCTTTTAACTTTAAGTCTACCGCTGCATTATTTCACACCTAGCACTAAAATTATATTTGCAATCAAAGGAATTGGGCTTTGTTTGATCTCTTCATCTCTGTATTCCTGGTTCTAAGCCTACAAAGAAAATACCAGAAGAGGCTGTGAAGATAAATAATGTTTGCAAAACATTAGATACTACAAAGAACTGAATACACTGAATAGCATATGGAGGAAATAACATCATTTTCTAACATATGTGCACAATTTTCATTCTGTGTAAATAAGACCTGAGGACACACACAAACATCAATGAAAATATAAAATACTAAATTGCTGCTCATTAAGTGAGCATCACCTGAGTTATGAATGAACAAAGATCCTATTTACAAAATATGTGAGCCCATAAACATTTACATATTGTTATAATGTAGGGGAACAAGTAATTTAATTAACACTGTGCAGTAAACATTATTTTTGGCATTTTATAACATTCTGCAATTTACCTTGACAGTGTTAGTAAAGCTTACTAACTTACTAGTAAGCTTACTTACTATGCTTTTATTTTTTGCAAAATTTAAATATTCTTTATATAATCAGAAGATAAACAAAACATTCAACATACAATCACAGAATCACAGAATCATAGAACTGTTTAGGTTGGAAAGGACCTTTAAGATCACCAAGTCCAACCATTAACCTAACACTGCCAAGTCCACCACTAATCCATGTCCCTAAGTACCTCATTTACATGTCCTTTATATACCTCCAGGGATGGGGACTCAGCCACTTCCCTGGACAGCCTGTGCCAATGCTCGATAACCCTTTCAATTAGAAAATTTTTCATAATATCCAATCTAAACCTCCCCTGGTGCAACTTGAAGCTATTTCCTCTTGTCCTATCGCTTGTTACTTGGGAGAAGAGATCAAGACCCACCTCACTACACCCTCCTTTCTGGTAGTTCTAGAGAGTCATAAGGTCTCCCCTCAGCCTCCTTTTCTCCAGACTAAACAATCTCAGTTCCCTCAGCTGCTCCTCAGAAGACTTGTTCTCTAGACCTTTCACCAGCTTTGTTGCTCTTTGCATACACTCCAGCACCTCAAGGTCTTTCTTGTAGTGAGGGACCCAAAACTGAACACAGCACTCAAGGTGCAGCCTCACCAGTGCCAAGTACAGGGGGACGAGCACTGCCCTGGTCCTGCTGGCCACACTGTTTCTGATACAGACCAGGATACTATTGGCCTTCTTGGCCACCTGGGCACACTGCTGGCTAGTTCTTTTCCGATGGGCAGCTTTGCAGCCACTTTTCCCCAAGCCTGTAGCGTTGCATGGGGTTGTTGTGACCCAAGTGCAGAACCCAACACTGAGCTTTGTTGAACCTCATACGGTTGGCCTTGGCCCATCAATTGAGCCTGTCCAGATCCTTCTGTAGAGCCTTCCTACCCTCAAGCAGATCAATACTCCCACCCAATTTGGTGTTGTCTGCAAACTTGCTGAGGGTTCTCTACATATTTTCAATAAAATCATATTCTCAGATTCAACTTTAAAAAAAAGACTTGCCATTTCATTTCCAGTTATTTCCTTATCTCTTTGGCTTTCTTCTGCCCTCCCTAGATCCACAGCTTCTATAACTCCTACAGGTACTCTTTGCTGATGCTTTCTTCCTCAAAAAGTTGAAATTAATACAGCAGGCAAGGAGAGTGTAAACACTTCTTTTTTTAGTCTTTTTTGCAACTTACTTTATGCAGTAAGACACTGAAATAGCTTCTTATCCATAAGCACAGCACAATGAAGAAGTGAATAATCTCATTGGAAAGCAGCAGTATTGGTGCTACACTGACTTTCCACGAGATACCCAAGATGTACCTACTTGGTTAAAAACATGGAACTTCACACAGAACATTCATGAAAGGCAAATCAGAATTATTCTTAAAGAAGCAAATCCTAATGGCCTGACGTCTATGTTGGGTAACAAGATTCAATCCAGATGCATCTCCTGTGGTACAGCAACAACTGACTCATTCTCACAATACATGGCTATAAAATGATGGATGTTGGAGCTTTATAATGGAAAAAATGTAGACGCTGAAGACTGCGATTACGTGACAGCATCGCCTGTACCTGCAGCCTTACGATCTGCAACTGTTTATGGGCATGAAATTGGTATCATTAAAAAACATGATTTAAGCATTTCTGTTATATAGGGTTAGGAACACTTCTCGGTTACAGAAAAAAATGCTCTTATTTGGATGTAAAGCCTCTCTCCTTCCTAACAAGACGGATGTTCCTTTTTTCTACTGTAAAGTTACCAACCAGTGTTTATTTCTTATATTGTTCTGAAACACAAAACAGTAAATCTATGCAATCATAATGAGGATTTAGGTAAACTTCAACCAACTGCACATTTTGGAAACAGTCATCTCCTTTTCTTCATTCTGAATTTTCAAACTAGGTTCATTTCATGCCCACTAGATTATGTATGGAAGTAAACAGCAAAAAGTAGACTCCTATCCACCCTTTTCACGCTACCTGTGATTGAACAGATCACTGCTGTATTCCTTCAGCCATCCCCTTTCCAGGCTGCACGTTCTTTGCTTACTTCTCTGTTCCTTTTATGGAGATTGTACCATACCTCTTGCTACCTGTGATTGAACAGATCACTGTTGTATTCCTTCAGCCATCCCCTTTCCAGACTGCACATTCTTTGCTTACTTATATGTTCCTTTTATGGAGATTGTACCATACCTCTGACCATCCCCATTATACTCTCCCTGAATCTTTTCCAGTTTCCAGTGCAATGTTTTACCCATAACAAGAATTACAGTAACACCAAATAAGTGGCTTTACCAAAACAAGACAATGAGTACTAATAAATCAGAATTCAGTATGTAGTCACTGCTGTGATGATAGTGTAAGTCTGAGAGATTTGGATGGCAAGTCTCATTGTTGACATTCATTTTAAAAAAGCAAGAGTCAGTAAATAAGAAAATAAGCACTGTAAAATGGAATTCAAATACTGTATTAGTATTAATATTTCTATGATAACTGCTGATTATTCAAAAGATAAAAGAATTTTCTCACTGTGTAACTTCATAACTTATCATCAATGTAAATAACTGCCTTTGTAGCAACTTCAGTTTTTAGGTTGCCTTTCTACAAATTACTTAATTTCCTGTCTGATTACTTTATAAAGATTACTGACCCTGGGAAATTTCTAAGTAAGTTCATGAGCTAGGTTTGAGATCAGAACATTAAACAATACATGGTTTTAATGTAACCTTTTTATTTTAAGAACAATATCTAGCTTTATATTGCCCAGATCCAATATTTAATTTCAAAACCACTGTATATAATAATAATTTTAAAAAGAAAAACAATGGAAAAAACAAAGTCTAGTGAGATTCAATAGATGCCTTGCTGTGAGCATGATGAGATCTTTAGAATAAAAGTCAGTATTCCAAATATCTAGCTCAAAATACATTTAGTCCATTTTCTAGGAGATTAGTTTCATCACTAGATATGAATAAATTATGCATTTCATGTTTTCATAGGACATTTTTAAAGATTTTATTGAAATAATGACACAGTGAAATTTATGCCATTTCCCCCATAAACCAGCTAAGACATCTATTCAGTCTGGAGAAGATGCACATGAATTTCTTATTGAAATACAATTCGTTATTTTTAATCATAGCTCGTAAGAAATATGCCTTTAGAGGTATACTGAGGTATATTTTTCTGTCACTAAGAGATAATGATGTGTAGCAATATATCAGCACCATATGAGGAACCAATTGTAACAGACTAAAATAAATTCAACGATTCCATTGAGCTAGGCGTGCTAAGTCATCTAAATATGGCATTCAACAGACTGACTAAAGAAGCAGAAAGCAAGACCTGAAAGCCCTCACCAGTGATGGGAAAAGTATGTTCTAGATAGAAATAAGTGAAGGATTTGTAGAGTGAGAAAGAAATAATAGTAACAACTGTAGTAACAACTTAGATTACAATTTCCACAGTACAATTCAGTAGAAATTCAGGTTCTTGTGGAGTGAATTTCAGAGTCAAGCAGAGGGCAGAATTCAAGATTCATTAAAATTCATGGAAGGAATGAAAAAAAAATGGAAAGGAATGAAAAGGGAGAATCATTTGTAAGAACGAGTTTTGAACAGTGTAATGAAGGATAAATGATAATGTACAGAGTAAAACAAGATCAGGTTTGGACATGGTTAATTTGAAGAAATAGACAGGCTTCCAGGAAACACCAAGAAAAGAGATGAAGTTTTACCTGAATTCCAGTATCACAGATATTACTGCATTCTGATATAGAAAGTTCCTTTATTTTTCCATGGCAGCCAAGGGCTCTCAAGCCCTAAAAAATTCCAGAAAAATTAATCTTAAATATCAATACATGCAATTATATGTAATTACATTTAATATGTTAAGATGGTCAATAATATCCAATGTCTGTATATTAAAGCTTGTACCTAAGAATAACAGCACCTTTTAAGACATTGTCTTCAGCAGAATGCATATAGTTTACCTGATTTTTTGCTTTTGAAGTATGTACAAGAGTTTAGAATTATTTGTAGAAATAATTAAATTTAGAAAGCAAAAAATTAGATTTTCCTACCTGTTCAGAAAGAAATTAACCAGAGAAAAGTAGCATGGTGTGAAATAGTTCTACAGGACACAGACCAGGACTCTCATAAAGCAAAATATATTCACAGATCTCCTCCAAAATTTGGGTTTGAAAGAACTTTTCACAATATTTTTTTTTTTTTGGTTGGAAGAACAAAGTACTATTTCCTACAACCAAATAATACCTTAATATTTCTGCCTTTATGATTTGCTTACCAGTAAGGGCTTTATGGCTACGGCTATGGTGCAAGACAACACCCGAAATGGTGCAGTCATACTCACAGGTGCATGAACAATCCCGATGTTCAAGACAATAGGGAGATTAAAACTTTGGTCAATTCCTATTTTAGGAGTGCAAAAGGACCCAAAGATGCTTTGTGATTTTTACTGCTCATACATCCATTTTGTAAAATGTATTTTGATAGCCACTGCAGAATATCTTTGTGCTTCATATCAATAAAGTAAACTTTACTGAAAAACAAAGTTATCACTTTATTCCATATGGTTAATAAATTATCTACAATTAGGCAGTGAAAAGCACTGCAGAGTGAGGAAACATCATCTTGAAAAAATAAGCACATGTAAGTGGTGTCTGGAATCCAGATGTGGACACTGTAATGATAATGCTGGAAGAGTGCGGCTGGAGTTCAAATTTTGCAAATTCCTGATATCTCACAGGCTGAATAAAAACAAAAAATGGAACAACGAAAGAGATTTCCAATCCTGGCTACTTATGAAAACAGAGACATTTGCATTTTTCTCAGCAGACACAGTTATGTGGTGACCGTTACTTTCAACAGCTCCATGAAAATCTACAGATTTCAAATTTTTGTTGACCAGAGCACTCCTATTCAAGACAAAAAAATAATTATGTACTTAAACCCCAAATGAGTTTATGTCAGAACTTGAATTCCTTACAGCAGAGACTGATAGTGAATAGGTGTGACCTTATGGACATAATTTCTTCTCGCATTTTTCTTTATTTAAAAGTGGTACCACTTCAATGGACTTGGTAATGAAATACTAAAGAATATTATAAAGAATTTTTTGCTACACAACAACTAATGCTGCTGTGACTTCAGAGTTAGCTTATAATAAGCTCATATGACTAGACTGACATCAAATCACGCAACAACTTTTTTTTTTTTTTTCCCCAATTAAAACCACGGTCCCCTTTGAGGTGTTTCACTAATAATTCCAGGTTTGAGAAGGGAAAGAATGAAGACATGGAGGAATGTCATTAGGAACTGTTACACAGAAAAAGTAAGAAACTTTTACATTTTACATTTTCCAAAAATAAACCTTTTCAAACAAGCTCTATGCAGGAAGTCTAATCTATATGAAATTTTTAAGTGTTATTTTTGTATCTAACATACAAACAAGGGAGCCAATTGTCACTAGTATTATTAGACTTCCTGATTTTTTCAGTAGTATTCCCTGATAAATAACATCAAGGATCCCCATCCAGGATACTGACCTATTTCTAGATGCTTTTGTGTTCTATACTAAGCCTCCAGACATTTTTGAAAGATATTGGAACTTCTGGAAAGAGAAGCTAACAAAACAGATACTGTGCAGCATACAGACTAGGATCATCCACTCCGTGTGTTTCCAAAAACATATTTCCCCTTTAACATAAAGAAGTCACCCCATGTATCTTGGAACAATCCTCTGTTGCCATGGAAAAAGTGAAGACTTTGTCCTGCATCTCTTGTATAGCACATATATTACCAATTCCGTTTAGAAAACAACTTTAAAAGAAACTTCTTATTCTTCTCCAACAGTTGTTTTTTCAAGCAATTTTTACATTTTTGTTCTGTTTCATTTACTTTATTATGTGAGGCCTACAAACAGTCGCAGAACATAACTTATTATTATTTCATTAAGGTTTTTGTAGATAAGAAAATGAGTATCTACTGTACCAGCCAGTGATGGTCTTCTCTTGCTAGAGACAAAAGTCATCTGAGGCTATGGCATACCAAAGAACAACTCGTTCTTATTTATATCCACAAGCTGCAAGCCTCTGCCTTTCAGCTGCAGACTGCAATGAATGTACCGTCTCTCGCTAACAACAACCATGTGCTACAGTATTTTCAACTTCTGAGATTTCTGTTCACATACCTCTTTGTAACCTTAAAGGTCAGCATCTGTAATGTATCTTTATGTTCCAGAGATATACAGATGTTACTTCCTGTTCATGCCCCAAACCAAACAGATTGACCTCAAAGTGACTCCAATCTTGGAAGACAGCTCTTAAGAGGTATTTCCCACCTTCCATTTCTGAGCCATTTAATATTAAATAACTCAGTTTATCCCCTAAACCACTCAGATTTCTGCACAGATTGGCCACAGTCAGGCACCAGTTTCATGGATCAAACACTTAGTAGAAGAGAATTTAACTCCTACCATGCAGCATCATTTTGTTAATAACAATAAATATGTGGCAGAACAAAGTTCAGTTTCAGATAGCAAAATCCTTCTGGAAAACTGGTAAGTTCTTAGGCAAAAGTAGCAATACTGTTCCCAGTACCTGAGCTAATGTAAAGGCGGGTCAGATCTGTTTACAGGAACTGCAGAGACATTTTTCTATTGCAGTGCAGAAATCCCCCTGTATGACTGTTTATGATGCATGCCATAAAACGTAATTTTTGTACCCAACATCACTAGCAGTTAGACTAGCCCATAACTTATGTAATACAGTTGTCAATGTTTCTTCACAGTAAGTCCACACAACAGGGCTTCCACTGTAACAAAATGTCCTGTAAAAATATCGAGCACAATTTTCAACATTGCAAAGTCCCTTTAATTCCTACTGATTTGCACCGGGACTCAAGGTGTTAGCACATATGGCATCAATTGTAATGACTCTGTGTTAGTGTTTCCTATTTCTCTGCAGAATTCCGTTTCTAAATCTCCAGGTCAAATTCTCTCTTTCTCTATTCCCCAAGCAAACTGCAGTGCTAACACATGAATTTGGAGCCCACTTTAATATATTTTAACATTTTCTGTTCCCTGCCTTGGGAATGCGTGCGATTTGTCACATCCTTTCCTTTGGAAATCAAAAGCAACTAATTAATTTGCAGTCTGTTGCTGGTTCTACCTATTAGACTTGATAATGCTTTTTTATTTTTTTTTTTCTTAACCTTTACAAGGCTCTTTCTCAGTCCTACTGGCCTAATTTTCTAACAGAACAATATGTGGAGCAGGGCTACAGATTCAAGTCACCATAGATTCAGAATCCCACTAAGAGTGCAAAGAAATTACTCTAGACAACTGTGGAAAGCCAAAATACCACTTTGGGCATTTTTGTCCCTATCAAGAAACCTACTATTAAAATACTAATAAATATTTACATTGCAGCCTGGCCTTCAGGACCATCCAGGATCTGAAGATCATGAAGTATAAACACATCAGAAAAGAAAGTTGAGCTAACTGTTTATAGATTCATATAACCACTACTCCTGAGTTCCCAATGATTACAAATTATCCTCAACTTTGAAGAGTAACTGCACATAGCATGCAAAAAATCTTTGACTGACTAGCTGACTTGATGCCACAGATAATTCCTGAGGAAGCATTTTAGCCAAAAGAGAGAGTGGGCCCTTAGATTATAATGATGCATGAGAGTCACTGCAGAAGAAAATGCAGAAGCAAAAAATATTTCTCTGTATACTTCACAATTCCTTTTTATCTTTGATTTCAGAAGTGTATCAGGGTTCTTACCATTTTTAAAGTATTTAACCTATTTTTTTATGTTTTAGGCTATTTTTTTCTTTCTTATTATTACACTGCATATAATTCACCACTGATACTAAGCTTCCCTGAGTCTATGTCAGGCCATCTACTGTTTTGTCGCTGGATGTCCTATATAACTCAGGAGTCAACTAAGTTGCTTTAACAATTCTTTTTATTATTCTTTGCTGTGCTTTTTCTGTCTAAATCCTGCTTGACTTTTAATTTAATTTCCTTCTTAATTTTCTTCTTCTTATAACAAATCCCATACTGAAACCAAAACATAGTGCTTTCTAGCTACTAAGAAGAAAATTAACTCTATCCTAGCAAAACCAGGACAACTTAAGACATGTGCATCAAATGTCCTGACACTTCTATACTTAATTTTTTTTCATGTCCCAAGAAGATGGGTGGTCCCAGGCCATAGGCATCAGCAGCTTGTGTTGGAATGAAGAAAGCTAAGCAGCTGCACACTTTCAGACTCTCAGATTCGGAGCAAAGCTGCCAAAGCTGTAGGATATAGACATCAGAAAAAGTTCAAGACATTTTAACAAAGATCTGGAGAGTCTGAGAATAAAGCTTATAACTAAAACTGCTTCTCTAACTCATGGAAGCACTTCCACTGAGTCTGCTTTTATAAGAAAGAGAAATAGGTTTTGGCTTTAAGTGATAATGTTTCCAGCTCCATAATAGAAGCTTAAAGACCTTCCATATATTGTAAATACCTTCACAATGATATCTAAAATGACTTGTGATATCTATGTGTTCATGAACATGTTCACCATACTCACAATTTAAAACACTATGGTCCCTATTCCAGGGAGTTTAAAAGAGCAAAACATGAGGGAAAACAATGAGGGATGGGAGGCCAGCTAGAAAAAAGGGGGAATTTCTCAAAGAATTCAAAGGTAATTCTTTTAAAGAACTCAACATCTTTGCTCTGTCATTACAGGGTTTTTTTGCAAAAGAAATTCTGTCACTACACTGCAAATCTTTTAATTTCTAAGTCTCCTAAGGTGTTTATAACTCTAAGAAACCAATTTCTAGTACTTCAGGAATGACAAAAACAGAACAAACGTCCTTCCCACTATTAAAAAAAGTTATTGAGACCTAAAAATGTGTGTTAATTATTTTTTAAAAATCAATTTTGAATAAAGAAGGAAATCTTTTCTGAAATGTAAAAATAACTGAGTGAATAAATTACTATTTAAAATGTAATTGGGGGGTATTTAATGTTACATATTTCATGAGAGTAAGAACAATATAGTGAAAGCTCTGATGAGAAAAGTACAGTAACTTCTTCAGTATGACACCAGTTTCTCATATGCATAAAGCTGACATTCTCCTCATTGGATGATATTTGGTTTTGTTAATGAATGGTCTTTGACTTATTCAGCAAGACACTTGAGCACACAGACAACTTAAACATGCAATGAATTACTTGCCTTATTTTAGTTTATGTTTAGACATTTGCCTAGGCATTTTCTCTCTATGTAAAATGCAGAACTTTCTACACAATACCAAAATCTGAATATATGCAATGATCATTTTTATCCAATTGCCACTCTTTCTGTTTACAAGTAGACTCTGGACAAGGATAATAAACTTTTCCAAACAAGAGAGAGACTTTTAATGTATTGCTTATTAGCACTACATTTTTTTAATTACTATGAGTCAACTGGGTACTGTAATTTATTTTTTTTTTTTATTAACAAGATCTCTTGTCAGGGACAATTCTGAGAGTTGATATATTTCTTCCAAATGCAACAAATTGCCTGAAAGAAAGACAGGTTGCAACAGGAACATTCACTTACGGGGCACCAGAGTAACTACAGAAGAGGAAGGCACCAACAGTGGAAAAAACCTTCCATTTTGATTAAGTCAGTCCTACCTGAGACGCAAATCTGTAAGAAAATCTGACTCCACTGTATGTTTTTTTCCCCTGTCCTTCCCGGAAATATAGGTCATTCTAATTGCAGTAAATTCTGCTCTGCTTTGATGGGCAGAATGAATCTGCTGTCACTTGAAAAATCAGAAAGGAAAATTCTCTTGTGCAGTGCAAATCTGTGTTGCACATTTGACATTTTTTACACTAAATAGCAAGACAGGAAAAGCAACAGAGATCTTCTGCACAGGCTACAGGAAAGCATATGAGCCTTACCATTTTTCTTTATCAGCACAGCGTAATGGTGTTGATTACTGCACATAAACCACTGTGCTCTCTGCTACGTTTTTAAAGCAATACTGACACAGTCTTATTGAAAAAGATCTTAATATAACTTAACCTATATGCTAATAAAATGCATAATATAAAGTCAAAGCATACAAATAGTAGCTTGTTACAAAACAGACTGCTAGATTTCCTTTTATCAAATAATGTTTTAAGATTAGAAAATGTATTTCTTATACATGCATGAATGTTATATACTTAAAACACAGCAAAAAGCAAAAACCATAACAGTTTTGTAGCTAGTACTAGCAATCAGATCAGAAATTACAAAAATGGTAAGTGGTTAATTTCTGGGTTAATTTATCTGTCTTGTGGGAGAGAGAAAACTGAAAGCCTTAGCAATGCAGTGTAGGCAAAAGAGCTTTGGCTTATTGCCGAGGTCATGGGTTGTGCTATGTGAAAACTAGAGTAAGAAGCAACACAGCATTTTAACCGACTAGCTGTGGCAGGCAAGGAGAAAGAAAACATTTATGTTGAAACATTCTGGGACGGTGATTCAAGGCATTATAAATTTCATTCAGATATAATTTCAAGCTATTTTAAATGATCACATTAAATGAAGTCTTCTTGGATTTCCCAGCCCTCTTTAATTAGCTTAATTTTGGTTTTTATTTTCAGGTCTCCATAAAAGATACAGGCAGTTTAATTACTTTTGCATATTATAATTACTTTTGCACAAACTCTGTGTTAGAGCCAAGAAATAAAGTTCTTGGTCAGAATTCTGTTTGAACAGTGACTGAGTGACTAGTCCCTATGACAAGTTTTCTTCATGAGGTTTCTCCTAGATTTCTGTGTTCGGTGAAAGGAGTTTGCCCCAAAAGTGAGAGAAACAGCAGAACTGGCTCTGAACACCACGCACGAGGCAGGACCTGCCAAGAACATCTAATGTGGAGGCCTGCGATGTTTAACCTGGCTCCCACACTCGCTATTTTGCTTTCCAGAGTCTTAGCAACTTGACACATTGAAGATACCTTGTTAGTAACTCTTTCACTAGCAACTATTTTCTAGACCACATTGTAGAGTAGTGCCCCTGCTAAAGCTAACATTCAGGGGTTTTCATCATAAAATCTAGTTAATGGAAAACACCATTTTTACAAATTTAAAAGTTAAAAATACCAATTTTTCAGTTTTCCTCAAGCCTAATTATCTTGAAGCAAAAAAAATTCTGCTTAACAAGCATTCTTTTCAGATCAGCCAAACTTACTCTTTTTGATGGTTTCTGTTTCTCTCTTTCAAATGTAAGAATTGTCCAACTTAAGAATTACCTTTTATTGGTTACTACCTATACATAGGCTAATACTGTACTATACATGTTTCTAAAATACATTTTAATGATACTGTAACTCCACTGCTTCACATCCATGCAGGCTTTTAAATGAATGGATTTTTATCACATTTTTTTCAAAAAGTCTAGATAAATAGTAAATACATTCTTCATACTTTAATCATATACATACCGTATCTCAGATGCTGGTTCCAGAGATATCAATAATGACATATTTCCCAAGGCTTCCATTCCAGCATCAGTCACATTTTCACAGTAACGCAGATTTAGATAGGTCAATTAATGGCATCTAAATTAAATAAAAAACCAGAAATGTCAGCTTTCCACTTTTGTTACAGAAATGTAACCCTTGCTAAGTTTTTTTGAGGGGACCTATGAAAATAAGCACTCTAGACTTTTGATACCTAGCTTATATAGGCACTTCCAAGGATTGCACTCATAATGCATAAGCATCACAAATATTTCAAACCATGAATACAAATCAAATTAAATCAAAATATGGAAAGAAATCAAGGAATTCTATTACATAAAAATATTTTTTAAATTAGTTTGATGCTTGACTTTTCGCCATCTCCAGATCTCTCATGTCTCTCCCAGGAACTTCAAAGCTCACTGCCATGACAGAATTCAGGACCCCATGGCTGTACCCACACCCAACTACAGCAATGCAAATAATGGTACACAGCAAATGTAGACACTGGTGGTTTTGCAAATCAGCACTCTATGCCCATACATGGAAAACTGAATTTGACTATGTAAGGAAGCACTGTAAGCTGTATCTCCCCATAACCAAACCAGAAGACCTAAGAAATCTGACTCCTCAAGCAGTGCATCTATGCTCAGAGCCTTAGGGGTAACACTCCATTATTAAAACAGAGAAGGCATTCCCTAGCTTACCAGCAAGCATGAGACAATTATGAACAACTACTATTGCAAAAGCGTAACAGCTGAGAGATCTAGGAAGGAGTGGATAGACTGACTCCAGTCTTCTCTGGAGAGAGATTATCTTCTGTTTGCTAATACCAGTACTCCTTCTGAGGAAATGGAAATGAAGAGGTTTAGCAATAGAGTGCTTTTTGTTTGTGCAGACATGAGTATTTACAAAGTTCACAAAAATATGACTTATATACGCTAATCTTTTAATGCAGTTTTGTCACTGACAACCATCATTTAAGCACTTTTTGTTTTCCCTCAAATTAACACTTCTCAGGTTTGCATGTTTATATTGATGAATTCTCCTTATATAATGGATCAGTTTTTGAGATTCACAATGCCAAAAGGGACTAGTCATATACCTAGTACAATTTTCTGCATATAATTGGTTGCATAATTTTACCCATTTATTAACATATTAAGAACTTTAACATTATAATTATACTGCAAGTCTAACCACGCTACAAAAATATTGTACGGGACTATGGTACCTGTGTGCTATTTCTGTGACAGAAGCATCAGTGACACAAATACAATTACTCAAGTTCAGCTCTCTTAGCTTAGCTCCTGAAGGACCTTGTACAAATGGCCTTACACCTCCATCACTGATTCTAAAAGAGAAATGTAGGCAATAATTATAATATGTATTTTTCCTACTCCATACAAGTCAACACACAATTTGCATTCAGCAACATACATTGTAGATAAGCAGAAATTAATAATGGTATTTTTTAATAGCATTTTAAGCCCAATGAGTCAGAATAATTAACGGTTCAATTAGAAAGATACTGCTCTTTGGAACTGCTGAAAACCATAATTTTCTGAAAAAACATCTGTTGGAGATTATGAGAATTTCTATTAGTTCCAACACTCAGATTTGACAGCACCCCAAAAGACAAAGCTTGGAAAACATATCTAGAAAGTATCAGAACCTGTTAAAACATTTCAGAGTAATATTTCTTTTAGTATCTTTGTTAATTGAAGGAACTGAAATAATTTAAAGGAAAAATTACCTTCTAGCACATAGGTAGCATATGTATGTAGTAACATATGCATGAAGAGTTAACCCCAGTTCTTCATCAGAGTGTTTCGCTTAATCAGTTGTATATCTCAAACACAAATTGCTAAGTCATAATATACACAAAGTTTATAAAAATTAAGTAGATATAGATAGAAAATCTTTCAGACAATTTGAGAGGCTTAGAGAGCTGACTACAACTTGGGTAAATGTTTCAATACAGCTCATATTTCTGGTATGTTTAACGTTACTTGTACACTTAGATTTTCAATGCATTCCCAGTATTTATTCCATGTTCCCCAATGAATAAAAACTTAACCCCAGAGTTCTGTAGGACAGAATCATATTTTGGCTTGTACAGCTTGTTGCAGCACAAAGAATCACTGCAAATTCCAAAGTCTTAGAAACATATCGGTAAGAATAGCACCACTAATAAAAAAATAACCTGAAAAGAGCCTCGTTGTGTGACCATAAGCTACAGATGAAGCTATAATTCATAAGTATTAAAGTAATCACTCTGCAATAATTCAACCACTGGGGTAGTTTTGGTGTTATTTCACAGTGCAGTTGTCTATCATTCAAGATAGATACATTTTAAAAATATACTTTCTGAATAATTAGCTTGCATAAAATCTGTAAGGAATGCAGAGCCTGGCAATAGAGTTAACTGAATATAAAAAAAAAAAAAATTAATCTGTAACCACATATTTTGAGGGTTTGAGGGATGAAACAGTGACATTACAACTTTTGAAATAATTGTACTGTGAATACACATGCTAAGTTTCTCTGGTCAGATGATTAACTGTCTAAGAACACAGGCCACACACTGCTGTATCATACATGAAGATAACAAAATGGGCAAAAGTGCCAACAGTATGAGCCACTACATTGCCATTTTTAGACACCTTTTTACTCACATCTCTATTATTTCTTAATTCTAATAATAATTATAAGTTGGGGTTTTTTTCATTTTTCACATGTAGTCCAATACTTCCTATAATTTAAGAATTCTAAATTGTTAGATTTGCTTTTTCTGCCCCTTTCATTTCTCAAAAAATTTTCCGTATGACTACATTAGACTCTTAGACTAAGAAAAAATGTCAACGAAAAAAAAAGGAAACTGATTAAAAGCACAAAGATGGCTAAGCATTTCAAAACCAGTTCTTAAGATTCTACCACCAGTATGGCGCATCCCTAGATTTCTATGAGGATGTGCTAAATGTTTCTAACTCACAACATGAACGTTTATAGCAACACACTGTCCAAATAAGAGAAACATAAATACTAGCAGTATTTCGTAGTTTCATACTTTTGTATGTCTCATATCACTTCAGAGAAACTCTTTACCAAGTTTAGACGTGTTACAATCTGTAACTTTGTTAATGCTGAAACTTTTACAAGTGTCTGGAAAAGCAATAAAATAAGTACAGAGTTTTACAATAGCTTTACAACTGCTTAAAAAGTTTCGCTAAGGTATTTCAGCAATTCTTTAGCCATAGAGACAGTAGACACGTGCAAACACACTCACAGCCCAAGATTTGGCAAACAGACTGGAAAATCCAGCCCTCTAAATGTTAAAGCAGAAAAGGCAGGCAGCTGTCCCATCTGCCCAGCTGAACTACCCACATGATGTCACGGTATTGCTCCGGCGCTTCTCAGCACATCTACGGGCAGTGTTACGAGATTTTTATACAGCACCAACAGGAACAAAAAGTACTTTAGTTACACATTAAAGCAGAATCCCTAAAACTTCACATGGCGTCAGAAATTTTAAGATAAGCAGCAATTCTGGCCTCTTTGTATTATTTTATAGGTCTGTTGATTTTGCAATGTTTAGAAGTTTTGCCTTCCCTGTTCCTTCCCAGCCTTGACTCCATCACCGTGCCACAAAACAGGGAACAAGTGTGCAGCTTTGGAAGCCCTTTCATTTGTCTTTGTTTTTACTGATACGTGACACACCTGAAGTGGAAAACAGTCTTCATATAAAATATAACTTTCCTCTACAACATAAATTACAATGTTTTCTTGGTAATTGTAAAAAAGTGGTGGTTTTGTTTATATCTTAGTACTAGATAGTTATAAAGTATTATTTTAATATTCACAAAATTAAACAATATCCAAATTTTAATAGAGTTGTGGCATTGGAATTGTGTTTGTTTATCATTTTCATCTTTTTCAGAGCCACATTCCTGTATGAAAATATGCCATGGCTATTAAGTATTACTGCATCTATGGTTAATGTTTTTGCTTGAACTGGAGTAATAATGAATGGATTTTTGAAAACATGATACAGGAACAAAAAACTACTTGTAGAAAATATTTTTAAAATATTAAGATACATGTATTAACATTCTAAGAATTTATTTTTAAAATCAAAAGATGTGTTAACATGACTTATTATGAGTATAATTAACTTTACTAAAATTCCTTTGCAATAGTTTACAGAAATCTGGATGTAATATAGTACCTTATGCAGTCTGCTACATTCAGTACAAGAATATGCTTCAATGGTGAAATCATCTGAAGACCAGCATCTGTAATCTTCTGGCAATCAGCCATATGAATGTGCCTGATGTATGGGCAGCATTTGCTCATCAACTTGAAACTTAAACCAGTAATTTGGTTATTCCCCGTTGAAACATACAAAGATGTAAATTACACATCTGACATACATTAATGGCCTGATCCAAATACTCACTGAAATCAGCTGAAAAATTTATTTCAAATTAACTGTATTAATTTTAAAAAGACATAATCCTAATAATTTTGTGAACTATTTATTATACTAAACTTCAATGCTGACCTTGACAAGTTTACATTCAGCAAGGGCTTTAAAAGTTGTATCAGAAAGATGTGGAGAGTCAAGAAAAACAACAGACATTATCTGTTGGCATTTTTCAACCACAGCCTTTGAAGAGAAAAAGGTGAAATAAAAGATTCATATACCTATGCTGTCACGTAATGAAAGATCAGAAAATATTCAGCATATAATACCAAATGTTACAGTTTCAAACAAATAGTTATAAACCATTTTAACAGTAACTTCTAGATGGTGAATAGAATATAAACTACTGAAATTCTACACAGATTTATTATGTTTGGGAACACAAGGAAAATAAGTAACTAACTGGAGACCAAGGAGACCAATGGAGACATGAAGTTTGGCAGACACTCAAGACAGTGATCTAGTTAACAATCACTTTTGCAGAAGCCTGAAAACTCTCTTGATGCACAAAATCAGTAGCAGAATGCTTTTACCATATATTATATTTGCTTTACAGAATCACAGAATCACAGAAAAAATTGGAAACCTCTTATTTATAAACTGGAAGACCATAATTCAGCCATACTCATGTAGCAAAAGAAGACAACTGGCATTTTCTGAAAGTGACTGCAAGTGAGCAGGATTTATAAACATAATTAGATAATAAAAATGGTTTTAGGGAGAAATTTTCCTTTTAAATTGTATCTGTATAACTTTCCTTAAAGCCAGCTGAGAGGATAACCCAGTTCCAACATCAGACAGTTTCTTAAAGTACAGATTTATTTTCAATTTCTTACCTGAATACATCTGTCCATAAGAGTTAGCATTTTGTTGATCAGCAGATCTTGAATCCCACTGCAGCCACTGGCAATATTTCTGAAGCCATCAACTGAAATCTAAGTAGGAAACAAAATATTTATGTCTTAGCAAACCCAACAGAAAAAATACAGGAAAGGCTTGAGATCTTTTCAATACTTTAAAATCACAGGTACCTAGATGCTCACTAAAACAAGAAATGCATTAATCCCATTAAAAGAAAAACAGACCCATGAGCTATAGATACTATTCGGAAATTTTAACAACACAATCCAAATCCAGGATCTGTTCCAAAATTATGTCTACTAAACAACCAAGGGTAAGTCTGACCACCCTCACTGTGAAGAACTTCTTCCTAGTATCTAATCTAAACCTGCCCTCTTTCAGCTTAAACCCATTTCCCCTTGTTTTATCATTAACTGCCCTCATGAAAAGTCCCTCCCCAGCTTTCTTGTAGGCCCCCTTCAGGTACTGGAAGGCCCCTATAAGATCTCCCCAGAGCCTTCTCTCCTCCAGGCTGAACAGCCCCAACTCTCTCAGCCTGTCCTCATAGGAGAGGTGCTCCAGCCCTCGGATCATCCTGGTGGCCTCCTCTGGACTCATTCTAGCTGCTCCATGTCTCTCTTGTGATGGGGGCTCCAGAACTGGATGCAGTACTCCAGGTGGGGCCTTATGAGAGCGGAGTAGAGGGGGAGAATCACCTCCCTCGACCTGCTGGCCACGCTTCTCTTGATGCAGCCCAGGATATGGTTATTGGCCTTCTGGGCTGCAAGTGCACATTGTCGGCTCATGTTCAGCACCACCCCCAAGTCCTTCAGATGTGTTCTTAGGCTTAAAAGCGTTTGTGCAGGTCTCACGCCCAGCCAGACAGAATATGCCATGGCTCATGACACACATTGGCACTGATAGAACTGTGGATGGATGCAAACAGTCTGATGTGTTTTAAGATCAGGGCAAGTGTAGCATGAATGTTTTTCCTACATTGGGTCTGTAACAGGCTGAAAAATGTCAGAGTGAAAACCCAACCATCAAAATAACTATAGGAAATATTTTAGAGGTAATGCATGGTGATATAAATCCCATCAACTGTCCTCTGTCAGCTGCCTGTGTTCAAGGTCAGGTCTGATACGGTGCAGCTGTGTAACCCTGGATGAGGCTCCTCTGAAAACAGCTACACTGTAAGAAAGAGCTGAAGAAGGAAAAAGAGCAAAATCATGGGAGGCAGGAGGGAAGGCTGCAGAAAAGGATTATACAGAAAGATAACCACCGTGTAACCACAGGCTAGTCAGAGCATGTAGAGCCCGTTGGTGCACTCCAGGCTCTCACCCCCACTCCAAATGAGACATGTCTGCTGGACAAAAGGACACCATGACCTTGGGAATGTGGCTGATGTGGGTAACACATCAGTGAGGATCTGCAGATAGTCCTGCAGATCTCAGCCATCAGCATGGATAGGTTGGATTTGCCCACTCCAAATGACTGCAAAACAATCAGTACTAATGTAGGGCTCCTATGGCAAAGGCAATCCTCTTTTCAACTGGTAGTGATCACCAGAAGGTAAAACATCAGCATAGAAAGATGGGTGCTAGTTCTCAGGACAGAATATGAAATTCAGTTGTCCAAATTGTACAGTTTTGTGCTCACTATTGTTATACATAATGTACAACAATGTAATCCTATCTCCAGTTTCCTCAACCCAGAATCTCTGGTCTGTATGAAAGGGATTAGCTTAAACTGTGAACATCACACAAGCAGCTGCCTGAGTGAAGTATTGAGAAATCTCCATTCTCTGCTGGTCAAGAAGCATGAATTGCTTTAACATGGTATGACCAACGCATTCAAGTCAGAGTTTACCTAATCCTGCAACAGGCCTCCTCATTGTTGGCTCTCAAGCAGCGCAACAACAGAAGACAGCACATTTCTACAACCCGCACCAAGTAGTTTAATATGTTAAAGAGTTAAATCACCTCCTAGAAATTTCAGTTTGAGAGGTGAATTTCTGATAGTTGAGTCTTGTTCTTGGTCCATATACTACAAAGAGCAAATCATTCCCAAGAGAAGAAAGGGTATGTTACATCACACAGTTTGTTGTAATACATGGTAATAACACTGGACATTATAATCTGAACATGATGCCTTTTCAAAAGAAGATTGAGTTTTTCACTCTTTTAAAAAATCAGCCACAGCTTGTTAAGCAGTCTAAGTATGCTTTAGCTGTTATGACAGTAGAATTTCCTCTTGTAACTGCTGAACAGATTTGCTATAACGAGTAGGAATACAACTCCCTCCTATGACTGCCAATCAAAGGAAGATTTGGGGCTTAATGGGGACCTGCTGTCAGTGGTTCTTAGGATTTTTTTTTTACCATGAACACATTGTTAACTGTTAAGAGTACCTACCTAGGTTGGTGATCACAGTTAGATACAGAGAGTAGAAATACAAGATCTCTCATGTCTAGGTACCTACAATTCAGATGCAAACACAATTAAATGATGGATCTTAGTTATATTACATTGCCTGTTGCTTTGGCCAAGATTTTAAAAATATCACTAAAAAAGCTAAATGCAGACTTGGGAGCCTAGTTTTAAGCTCCTGACTTTGCAAATGTTAGCCATTTAATTAAGCAGTAAGATAAATATTTGTGAGGCTTAGAGGTTTTCTGATAATTGTAGAAGACGAATCACAGTTAAGAGGACTTTAAAATCAGAGAAATAGGTAAGAAAAACACCAGGTCAAGAAAGAACCAATAATATTGATAGTGATTTTAAAAACAGACTGCAAATGCTAAAGCCTTTTTTTACTCCACTGAAATTAGGCATATAATTGAGGTGTCTAGGTCTGACAATTATGAAACCTGGGATCCTCTGTATAGAAGAGAGCAAGAAACATCCCAAGACAGGTCAGACCTAAAAAGTCTGAATCACCTCTGGAGACCTCTATCCCTCTCTAACTGCTAGATAGATAAATTAAGACAATTTTCTAGGCACTACCTTAGCTTAGATGCCTAAAAGTAAGGAAATTCCCATTCTCAAAAAGATAGACAGCAGGTAGCAGGTAATTAGCTCAAACTCAACAATGTTGAGGGACAGAAGCAGCGTATCTTTTTCTGAAATTCAGTAATGATTGCATAATGTTAGCTGCAGTCTAAAGCACTTTTAATCTCTTTATCTGGAAAAACACTGTTTGCCTAACAGAGCACTTGATACCACAAATAGCAGCAATTTATTGTTTTCCTCCATGCAAGCCAAAAACAATTATGCTGAAGCAGCTAATAATACCCTTGCACAGATTGTTTCCATTTTTTTTCACTTGAACTAGTTTTTAACTTAAAGCTGGATAATGGATCTCAGGCATCAGGTTGAGAAAGTTCCACTGTGAAACACACAATCAGGTAAGATCCAATTAAATTAGTCAACATTTAGATGCTGCTGCAATATCATATGTATTTGTCTTATTCTCCTTTACTCCTAGAACAATAAAATCTTAAACTTGAATTTCTTTTCTAAAGCCTCTACAGATTATCTATGAAACTGCATCCACTCTTGAAGATAAGGTGCAAAAATATGAAATTTTGTGCACATTTTAGTAAAACAGTTGCTTTCTCAACTCACTTGGAATTTCAATGTTTAACAGACTGCCTCAAGAGCAAACAGCTTGACTCAAGAATCAGTGTTCGGATACATATGGAATTTAATACTGCACTCCTTGCCCCGGATCAATAAAATCCCACTTAAATCTCCTTCTTCAAACCAATTGTGAGGGAGGATGTTTTGAAGATTGTTGTGAGTCTTAGATCCTATAAAATTCTGCAAAACAGACTTTTTCTATAGTCTATCTATAGATAGATAGACTATCTTACTATCTGAGTAAGATAATTTTATAAATGTATGACTTTTCTTGCATGCACAAGATCAGAAGTCAATGCAATGATCACATATAAAATATAATTCCTTGTGTGTGAGGAGTTTACAGCCTAATATGTAAATGACTGATTTGGGTTTTTTTCTTAACTGTATGCTAGTGTACTGTGATCTGAAATAAAAGAACATCAAAACAAACATGGAGCAAACCACGGCTAAAGATTTGTCCCCACAGATTTAGAAAATAAATGTAGTAAAATGATGAAATCCTTGTAAGGATGTCAAAATTCATTTCATTTCATCTTTTTATAGCTTCTTAATTCCAAAGGATACACGCAAGATTTTTATTCAGGTTTTGTCTTATTTGCTACACATGCAGTATAGCTTTAAAATTCCTTCCCTCCCCCTTTTGAACCAATTGTATTTGTGGAATCCACCCTGCAAGGCAGAACACTGTCTGCAGCACAGAAGGGATTTTGAAGAAACACAGTTCTCTGATTCTAGTATTGTCAATGCACTGTGAGTGCAGAAACTTGAAAATCAGCATCCAGGATGGAGGAAGTACTCTTGTGGTGCACAACGGGCTGGTTTTTTTTATTACTCTGTGTTTGTCAAGAATGATAAAACAAATCGTGACATCCTTTCAGATGTTTGGCACATTACATGGATGGCTTGCCTCCACATGTTATTTTTCTTTTAATTTTCCACTGTCCAAAAAAAGCTTATATTAACATACTCTTGAATTAGCATATTTCTAAAAATATAGAGTAGTGCATGTGTAACTCATAATATTCTTCAGTTACACAAGTTTATACTCAGGAAATGTAAACAATGAGTCTTCTTCTTCAGTAAATAAAGAACATGGCTTGTATTTTCTTCCCGAGTGACGGCCCCTTTTTGCTGTTTGATACATCTGAAGAAGACTGTACTTCACAGTAGCTGCCAACATGAGAATTCTGCCAATGAAGCCAGAGCAGGAGGAACTCAGATGGTGAAAACTGGTAAAGCCTACACATTTGTCAATAGTTTCTCTGACAGCCCCACAAATACTGTAGGATGTCAAGAAATTAAAGGGTCAAAATTATTTTTCCCAGTGGCTTGTAATCTCTTATGCAGCTGCTGTAAACTACAGTAACTGATAAATTGCTCTAACACATTATGGGCCAGAATAGTTCTAGTCTGAAAATCAACCATAGATACTGGCACCAAAAATAAAAAGTCAATTTCTTTGAAAACCTCCATGTTTCTAATTTAATTGAAAATAACTCTGACCAAACTGTTCTAGTTGTATAATCTCAATCTAATATGTCAGTAAAAGACATGCAACTGCCTTATGCCCTTCGTCTTTTCAGTTTTGTGTCTAACAGCAGAAAATTTTCCACCTGTATTGTTCAGCTTCAGAAGCAGGACAAAAATCTTATGCTTTCTTGGTAACTCTCTGAGACAATCAATGGCGTAATAGGGCACCTTTTCAGCAAAAAAACACGAGAGAATCTCTATATCTGGAAACTTACCAATGAAAATATCTACCACTCATGTCATAATGATGCAACCTTAATTACTGAGATTTTATGAAAAAACCCCATACCTACAATTCATCCAGTATTATTACCATGTATTAATATAATAGTCAAAGGAAAGACTGCCTTCTTTTATGACAACGGAAGAGAAAATGTGTGCTTAATTCCCAGTTTTCTGCCTAACTATATTTTAACGAACTATTTAAATGTCCTGGTCTTCAAGCTGCCACTCACAAAACATTAGCATAATCACCCATTTTACAGATAAGCTTTCTAAATAGACCTTCAAATCCTATAGTAGTAATGGTAATATAAGAACTCATATTAAAAGAACTGTAATGTTAAAATTAAGGAAAAATCAGGAAACATGAAAAAACAGGAAAAATACATATTCTATATATTATATAATATTCTATATAATATATATTCTGTTCTATAAAACAGTTTTTAGCACAATTTAAATGTTTATACTATAGCTTCACTACATTTTTCTAACTAATTCTGAAATATTAAATTCTGCCTTACATAAGCTCCCTTTGGTTTAGTTCACCCAATGAGGGGGAAAAAGAAGAATTCTGTCTTATTAAAATGCTTTCTGCAACAGTGATGCAATTTGACGCTCTTTTTGATTTTAACTGTTTACTTAAGTACTCAGTCATCATCATTAAGCACTGCTGCAGAATCCTAGGGAAAGCCAAAATGGATGAAGCTACGGAATCCCTTTCAGAGCTCTCAAATACACTGGTGAGCAAACCCACTTTCCTCTGGAAAGGGGAGGATTGTGGTTTTCCCACTTCTATGATGATCACTTTTCTCTGACTACTATTAGATCATGCTTTCTAGAGGCTGATCCTTACAGGTCATGATTACACTTCTGAACAAGCAGGAA